TGGTTCAAAAGCACAAGACAAATAAGGGATTGAAAAGACTAAATATGTGAGAGTTTCGAATTTTCCTCCGGGGGGAAGAAAACCAACAAGTTATGATTTTCCTGCAAGTAAACAAACTGTTTTCCATATGTTTCCAAGAGAAAACTGCTTTTCTGTTATTCTGCACGTTTCATGGATGATTCCAGTGGGGGGGTCCTAGGAAGCAGCGCATTTTCTCTGGCTGCAGGGAAAAATGTGTTTTCCAGCTCATTCTCTGGAGCCAGGAATGAGGAGCAGCAAGGTTTGGTTTCTGCAGGCTATGAGGTCCATTGGGTGGGGCCCCAGTGAGGCCTGGCCTCATGAGCCTGGGGAAGCTGCTGTCCCATCCTCCTGTCCCTGCCCCCAGGCTAGATGAGGGTGGGGGGCTGTGCCCACTGCAGAAAGATGAACTAGAATAACATCTGCAGTGTAACCTCTGGACTCTAGCTCCTGGGGCACCTGTAGCCCCCATCTACCTCAAACCATAGAGCAGGTGACCCTTCAAATTCTTGCTAGAATATCAAAAACACCTGACCTTGTCATTCCCCTATTTCAGTACCTTCAATAGTTCTCCTGTTGCTCTTAAGATCAAGTCTATACTCCTCAGAGTTTCTCATAAGGTTGGTTCTCAGTAACCAGATTCCACTGTATCTTTACCTTCATCTCTCACTATTCCCTCTTCAACCGTCTCTCCACTCCACTTCCCGGACCCCTACCCCTTTCTTGCCTCCAGCACACACAGTGTTTGCAGTCCCTTGAATGCACTGGACTCCCTTTGTTCCTGGGAACGCCCTTCCTTGCTGACTCTTGTTCGTACTTCCAATCAACGCAGAATTGCTTCCTCCAGGGAGCCTTCCTTGTAGACTGGGATGGCTGTCCCTCCTTGCTGCCATAGTTCACCGTGTTTACCACATCATAACTATTCATTGACAAATATTACTGGACATGTCTGCGGAGCAGCAACTGGGCTAAACTCTGGGGACACAGTGGAAAGAAAACAGTAATAAACAAGGAGACAGGCAAATAAGTGAGAAAATACCATTGTACTAAGTCCTGGGAAAGAACAGGATGTAGAAATGGAATATGAGGAGTGAGATAAATGCCTATTTTACTCTGACTTCCTCTTTACCTCTCTGTCTCTCCATTAGACAGCAGTTCCTCTAGAGCAGAGATTTACATTCATCATCTGTCTTTTTTTTTTTATCACCTCTTTATTTCTAATGCACAACATAGGACACGGCACACAGAAGGCACTCAATAAGAGTTTATGGTTTGAATCATAACCATTTTCTGTTCCATTTCTAGGCCTATTTTCAACTCTGCTGGAAATCAGGAATTTCACATCTTTTTCCATGAGGGGTAAACTGGGTAATTAAAGGGGCAAAGAACAAAGACACTGGCTCATTTTTAAATATGTCCTCAAATTCTTTAACACTCCCTCAAAAGATGCAGCCTAATTCCTCTCCCCTTGAGGGAGGGCTGGTTTTGGTGACTGACTTCTAATGAATGGGATAGTGTAGAAAGGATCATGTGTTCATTTTGAAGCTAAGTCATAAAAGATACAGCAGCTTCCATCTTTCTCTCTTCACCTTGCTTGTGGGAAGCCAGCTGCCAGGTTTTAAGATGATCCAGCAGCCTCTTGGGAGACCCACATGGCAAGGAACTGAGGCCTCCTGCCAACAGCCAAATGAGTGACTACCTTGGGAACAGATCCATTAGTCCCAATCAAGCCTTCAAATGACGGTGGCCCCGGCCAAAACCTTGGCTGCCACCTAATGAGAGACCTTAAACCACAGCCACTTAACTAAACTGCTCTCAGATTCCTGATCCCCAGAAACCTACAGGTAATAAATGCTTGTTTAAAACCACTCACTTTGGGAGTATTTTATTATGCTGCAAAAGATAGTTAATGTAATTTGTCTGCATGCTTGAATGTATGCAGAAAGACAGAGGAGTTAGCTGGGCGTCCTCTGCAAGGAAGGGCTCTTCCATTCCAGAGACGAAAGGAGGCTTTGTCTGCAAAATCAGAAAGGTAGTTGTTATTTTTTTATCCTTAGGGAGACTGGGCCTATTTTGGGGTCCTGGGTTTCTAGCTTTCTCCATGGCATCTCCTTATGAATGCAAATGAGCTGTGAACACAAGGCAGGCATGTCATTGCTTACTCACGCTGCCTGAAAACTTTCCATGTGTTTAGCACTGTGCTACAGAGCTTTGCATATATTGATTCATTTAAGCTTCACCACAACCCTGTGAAAATTATTGTCCCTGCTTTACAAATGGGGAAACTGAGGCACTGAGCAGTTAATGACCTTGCCAAGTAGGCTTTTAATGGTGGAAGAAAGGCCCTAACAGTGACGGCCTACACTATGACAAGCATCTTAACAGACACTTTAATATTATTTCACTTAATCCAAAAACAAATCTGCAAGAAATAGATTAAAGCCCTTCTTTAATTAAAGTATAGTTAATTTACAATGTTGTGCTTGTTTCTGTTGTATAGCAAAGGGACTCAGTTATATGAAAAAGAATATATAGAAATATTCTTTTCCATTATAGGTCATTACAAGCTATTGACTATAGTTTCCCGTGCTATACAGTAGGACCTTGTTATTTATCTGTTTTTTGTATAGTATTTTGTATCTGCTAATCCCAAACTCCTAATTTATCCCTCTCCCCTTTCCCCTTTGGTAACCATAAATTTGTTTTCTATCTCTGAGTCTGTTTCTATTTTGTAAATAAATTCATTTGTATCATATTTTAGATTCCACATGTAAGTGATATCATATGATATTTGTCTTTCTCTGACTTACTTCACTAAATGTGATAATCTCTAAGTCTATCCATGTTGCTGCAAATGGCACTATTTCATTCTCTTTTATGGGTGAGTAGTACTCCATTATATAGATATAGATATAATAGGTATATAGATATATACCACATCTTATAGATAGATATACATACATACACACACACACACACACCCCCACATCTTTTTTATCCAGTCATCTGTTGATGGACATTTAGGTTGCTTTCATGTCTTGTCTATTGTGAATAGTGCTGCTGTGAACACTGGGGTGCATGTATCTTTTTGAATTAGAATTCTATCTGGATATATGCCAGGAGTGGTATTGCTGGGTCATATGTTAAGTCTATTTTTAGTTTTTTTTGAGGAATCTCCATACTGCACCAAATTACTTCCCCACCAACAGTGTAGGAAGGTTCCCTTTTCTCCACACCCTCTCCTGCATTTGTCATTTGTGGACTTTTGAATGATGGCCATTCTGACTGGTGTGAGGTGATACCTCATTGTAGTTTTGATATGCATTTCTCTGATAATTGACAATGTTGAGCATCTGTTCACGTGCCTGTCAAAGTCCTGTCTTTTAATGATAAAAATGAAGCCTAGGGAGATTGACTTCCCTATATTCGCACAGGTGTGGCAGGTGTGGGTTCAAAGTCTAGGCCCAGCTGTCTCCAAAGTCCTCTTTGCACAGCACCCAGCTGCCTCCCAGTTCCTGCCACCTTGTCGCCGCTCTCAGCTTCAGATGTGTGCTTGGCAAATCCAGAAAAATCACCCAGGTGCTGGCCAGCTCCCTAAATGGGAAATGAGGTGACAGCCCTGAATTCACACATCCCCATGCACCTCCAGGTAGCTGCTCCCTGCACCCACATCTATGCCAATGTGCTTTACGGCAACCCTGGGTAAGAGATGAGTGGGCAAAGCGGGCAGGGAGCATGCAGGATAAATGGGATGCAATAAAACCCAGCCTGTTTTTCTTCAAGGCAGGAGTTCAATAAATCCAGAGGCACCAGTGCTTGTGACACTCCTGAGGCTGAAGCTGCCACCAGGCTTGGCTTTGCTTCCTGGGACGCAGCAGGAATTCAGAGGAGATGGAGAGAAAGCTCTCTCCTGACTATCAGGCAAGGGAAGAACCCCATCTACAAAGTCAGACAGGCCAGCCTCAGGACAAATCATGCAATGAAGGAAACGTATACCGTGTGCCCGTCCGCCTGCCTGTCTGCATAGGTGGAGAACCTGCTTCCCTGTACAGAGCATGCACTCACTCATCTGTGTCAGTTCCCTCTTCCTTAGTCGAGGCTTCATCCCTAAGGTTTCAGACATGCCCCTGACTTAATGTGGAAGTCAAGGTGGCTTCCTCATGAGCTAGAAACTGTTAGGTCTCCTTACGTTTCTCTTAGAAAATGGTTTGGGGTCTCCTCTTGATACCTGGGATGGTTAAGTCTTCCCACAGCACAGCAGGAAGAAGAGAGCTATGTGGTTCAAACTTGATTACCTGGAGACAGAGCTAGAAATACAGACTGCAGTTTCACAGGAGCAATTCTGATTCACTGGGTGCCCTGTGAGTCTGCATTTGTAAGCCATCTGTTGATCACAGTTTGAGAAGCTGAAAGAAAATCACCGTTTAGAGTAGATCCATTAGCCCTGGATTAATAACAGCTCCAGGCAGAGTTTAAAAAAGCTTCACAGTGAGGGGGTTCAATGCATATTCATCATGCTTTGACAAATTATTAAGATCCCGGTTATCTCTAACCAGATGAACATAAAATTTTGTATTCTAAGAAGACCATGAAAATCTAAAAAGAGAGATGAAGATACAACTTGTCTGCAAAATCAAAAGGGTAGTTGCCTTTTTATAAACACTGAGCCTGTGTTTAGGGTCCTTCAGTTCCTTCCAAGAGCTGGTTTTGTTCATTTGTTGTTTACATCTGTGGTAGACAGAATTTTGGCCCCCATGACCTTTGCACCTGGCATTACATCCACGAATATGTTATGTTACATGGGAAAAGGAACTCTGCAGTTGGAATTACTTACCAGTTGACTTTAAAATAGGAAGATTATCCTAGATTAACTGGGTGGGCCTGCTGCAATCACATGAGCCCTTCAAAGTAGAAGAGGAAGGCAGAAGGGAAAGTCAGATTTGAAGAGCAAAAGTGATTTAACATCTGTTTCTCACTTGAAGATGGAGGGGCCGTGTAGGAATGAATATGAGTGGCAGCTGACAGCCAGCCAGCAACAAAGATCTCAGTCCTACAACCTCAAGGATTCTGCCAACACCCTGAATGAATTTGGAAGTGGAATCTTCCCCAGAACCTTCGGATAAGGGTCAGCTGCCTGACTTCAACTTTTGAGTACACAGAGCAGAACCCAGAGGTGCCTACGTGGATTCTTCATCTACAGAACTGTGAGATAGTAAGTGGGTATTGTTTTAAGCTGCTAAGTGTTTGTTACACGGCACTAGAAAGCTAATAATATCTAAGTGCTTTTATTTTTTGAATGTTTTTGTCTGGATTTTTTGTTTTGGTTTGGTTTTTAATAGTCTAACACTTGAACTCATTGCTAGATGGTATCTCACATCCCAGCTCCCTGCGTCTCTTTGAGGACCATGTCAGATTCCACTTCTTGCAGAAAGCTTTCCTCAATGGAGTCATCTTTTATCATTGGTAGTGATGATCTTTGCCAAAAGAGTCCTATTTTGTTGGTAAATGAAAATTAAGGATGGGGTAGAGGCAATAAAGGATTGAATGTATGTATGGGGACAGGGTTAATGTTTAGGAGCCAAACAGAAAGATAGGCTAATTCATTCATTCATTCAAGAAATATCACTTGAGCATCTATTATGTTCCAGGTAGTCTTCTAAGAGCTAAAGCTATACTGGTGAATAAGACAATATGACTATTTTAAGACTAACAACTTCTTGAATAACATGATCACACTGAAGGCAGTGGGAGAGAAAAGAGCGAACTTAAGTTAGTTTGGAAAACAGGATTATGGTTATATTCTGTAAAGCTAAAGACAAAAAGAACTGTGTTTAAATACTGTACTCTAGTTAAGTAAACATATTTCTTATAAAGGGTATGGGTTAGGAATTCTGAAACTAATTTATGTGTGTATAATGTTTGAGCAAATAAATAAACACATTGTAGATCATGACAGCCAGGTATTTCACTATCAGAAGATAAAAGTTAGAGAAATGGGAAGGATTAAATGAACCCTATAGTGTTGAATAGAATCTATAGTATCAGCATGAATTCATGGCTTTTAATAACACACACACACAAATGCATAGATATGTGTGTATGTGATGTGTACATACTGCTTCTTGAAAGAGCCTAGAAGTAATGACACCCTAGTAGCAATGAGCACATCTAGCATCAAGATCTTGGTTTCTAAGTACCAGCCTATAATTCAAGGAGCCAGGGAGCCTTGGAAAAATGACTGAGTCTAGGGCTTGGACAGGAAAAATACAAGGTAAGCAAGGAGCATCATATGGAACCAGAAAGGAAGGAATAGCACCCTCCTCCCCCACCCCAAAATAAAGGGATGGGTGATGTTGAAAAGGCACAAGAACCAACTTGAAAGAGCTCCTCTTGATTAAATCTGGGACAATTTGAGGAACAAAATAAATATGAAAGAAAGAGAATATAACCCATAGAATAAAATAAATGTCTACGAATTCTTTTTTGGGAAAGAAAATTAAAGAGCTTTATTATGAGGTAGATCAGCAGGGAGACAGAAAGCAGGGGGCTCATATCTGTCTCCCCAGTCTGCTATTTGGTCACACTTTCATGAGTTATGGGAGGATGGATTGGCATGTGGGAGTGCTGGTGGGGCAGGTTTTCAGTTTAGAGCTTTGGAACCTGGCCATTTATGGTGAAGGGGGCTTCAGCACCCATCTCCCTGAACAACAGACTCTTTGTTTCTGAAAAAGTTTTAGCATTCCAGTTCCTGTCATGTCCCAGCCCTTTGGTTCCATGGCGGGAAGAAAGTTTGGTTCCAGATGACTATGAACCCATATTGGTACACCTGAATAAATAAATGGAAGCAAAAGGACAGCCTTCCTTACAGCAGAATTCCCAATTAATGAATTTGGAAGGAATTTTAGAAGTAGAAAATTATTACTAGGCAAACAGCATACTAATAATTATTGTAGGCAAGAATCAACAAGGGATGCTAAAATTAGTGGGTGAAAGTACAATGAGAAATAGGATATTTGCATAGTCTCAAAGTATCTCCCCACAGAATACTTATTTCTTACAAAGGGAAAAATAGTAACTTTTCCCTGGAGAATCCTGGCACAAGCCACCTTTAACCAAATGATCAAAGTCAACCTGGACATAATAAGACATATCAACATCATGTGCCTTCTGATGTGACACACTGAGAAGCACAACATCACGTCACAGTATTCTTGCTACTTCCCAAATGCATAATGTCAACTAAGGCTGAGCAAAAAACTACAATATCAAGTACTGCTGAGGATGTGGAGAAACCAGAATTCTTATATATTGCTGGCACAAGCACTTTGAAAAACTGTTCAGCGATTACTCATACATACAGGTAAACACACACTTTCCATACAACCCAGTCGTTTCATGACTAGGTATTCATCCAAGAGAGATTAAAGCTATTTTTATGGCATTGTGGAAAAAACAAAACTATAGAGATTAGCAACAGGTAGTTGCCAGGGGTTGGGTTTGGGGGAGGGAAGAAGCTGACTACAAAGGGAGTTTTAAGGGATTAATGGGACTGTTTTATATGTTGATTGCGGTAGTGGTGACATGACTGTAAATATTTATCAGAATTTAGAACTGAATGCTAAAAAGAGTAACAAAAAAAATCCCAACCAATAAATCAAAACTTCTTAGAGACCACCTTTATAGTTACTAGCGCTTAGAATGGTGTTAATGATCATATGAAAACATCAGACCAACCCCAAGTGAAGCAAATTCTACAAAATAATTCTTCAAAAGTGTCAAGGTCATAAGAGAAGAGGAAAGACTGAGGAATTGCTACAGGTTGAAAGAGACCAAAGAGACATGACAGTTTAAGGCAATGTGGGAATTCTAGATTGGATCTTGAACTGTAAAAAGGATAGCATTAGTGGACCATTAGCAAAATGAGATTAAGGTCTGTAGATTAGTTAATACTATTGTGACAATATTAATTTTCTGGCTTCAATAATTGCACTATGATTATGTAATGTGTTACTATTAGGGAAAGCTGGATGAGGGGTACACAGGAACTCCATTATTTTTGCAAGTCTAAAGTTTTTGTAAGTCTAAAATTATTCAAATTAAAAAGTTTAAAGGCATTAATAATTTCTGTTAATCAAAAGATTCCAGAGACTGTAAAAAGGCAGCCTGCAGAATGGGAGAATGTAATTACAATATACCTACCCAACAAAGAATTCATTTCCGTAATAGATAAAGAAGTCTTACAAATTAATAAGAAATAAAATAAGTATATATAAAATACATTAGAAAAAGGACAAAAATTGTTCGGGGTACTTCACAGAAGAGAATATCTGACTGGCCAATAAACATAAAAGGTGTGCAATTTCATTAGTCACCATGAATATGAAAAATAAGACCACAATGAGAGATGCCGCTACACACTTAACTGAATTGCTATAATTAAAAGGCCAAAAATATCAAGTGCTGGCAAGGATTTGTATTAATACTGGACTCTCACACCCTCTTGGTTGGAGTGTAAATTGGGACAATCTACCAAAGGTAAAAATATTTGTGCCCTGTCCCCCAGCAGTTCTGCCCCTATGTATACAGAGCTAAAAATATATATGTATATAGCCCAAAGGCATGCACAAAAATGTGACAGCAGCACTATCTGTAACAGCCCCAAGCAGATACAAACCCAGTGTCCATCAACATAAACTGTGGTGCAGTCACACAATGGAATAGCATGCAGCAGTGAGAATGAAGACATGACCGCTATACGTGACAACACAACTGAATCACACAAACATAATACTGAGCAAAAAGAGGCAAAATTCATCTGTGGTGACAGACAGATGATCAGCTGTTACCTTTGGGGAGAGGCAGGTAGCGACTGGCAGGGGGAAATGGTGACTGAGAGGGGCCAATGGTTACGTGGAGGTGTTCACTTTGTGAAAATGCACTAAGTCGTACCCTTATCTGCATATGTTATATTTACAAAATGTTTACTCCTTAAAAATCTTTCAGAAGGCAAATAATAGAGAAAAAATAGAAATGTTTTCATAAAACTACTTAAAAGTCCCTTTGTTTTGAAGAAAATACAATTGTTCTATGTGAAACACTTCTCTGTATGGGTGGAAGAAACGCCTGGAATAGACCATTTTAAATGTCAGTATGATGTACAATCTGGGACCTCTAGATGCTAACACAGTAGTAGCAACTAAACAAATGCCAAAAGCAAGCAGACAGGAAATTAGAGAAGAAACTGGCCATACACATCCGGAGAAGCAAAAGCAGACAGACAAAAAAAAAAAAAAAAAACCTAGTTTCTAAGAAATCAAATTGAAGAAGTGAAAATACACATTTTATATGATAATCAAACCACCCTGCCCACGGTGAATTCGGAATCTGCCTTCTCAGAGTGAAAGCCATGGGTTACCATGAGAGGCAAGGATAAAGAAAGGAAGAGATACATTGCATAACGAAAGGGCATCAGAACGAATAGAAGATAATTCCCTTGGACATGAAATGCAATCAAGTCAAGACCCATATTTTATCTCTGCTGGAGGCAGTCTTATTTGTTAGTAAAGTACTGGGATAATCAACCATTGTTCTCCCTGCCAAGACTGTCAAAACAAATACAAGCTTCTTTGCTCAGTGCTAAAAACGTCTGAGCCTTTAGAGAACAGCTGGGCAGAAAGCAATCTTGTTCAATTTCGCCACATTTCTCCCCAAGTATTAGGCTGTCCGAATGCAACCCACATCAAAGCATCCCAGACACCCACTGCAGGGACAGACCTGTCATGTGAACACAGCCTATCAAACTCAAGCAAGCAGAACGCACAATGAAAGCACTTTAAACTTGTCCAACTCCACGTCTAAAGGAGCAAAGACTGAAGCATAAAAAAGCAGCTACTCTAAACAAATAATTTCTTTGAGTAGCTTTTTATAAACACATATTTTAAAAATGTTGGTCTGCTTGCAAAATGCTATGTCCTGATAAGGCTCTGGGAGCATTAGAAAAGATTCATGATCTCTTGGCTGTACATTTTAACACTGGATTGCTCAAGGGACACCTTCTCCTAAGCATCTTCAAAATTAGTCTCTAGCTATTAAGTCAGCTTTTATTAAAGCACGTCTTATTTGTGGCTTTGTGATTTGTATTAATTAGGAGATGCATCAGTTAGGATGCTTGGGGATGCAAGTAACAAAAAATTAAAAGTCCACTGAACTGACTTACACAAGATTTCTTTTATCAAATAACAAGAATCTAGGATGCAATGTACAACGTGATGACTACAGTTAATAATACTGAATTGCGTTTTTGAAAGTTGCTAAGAAAATAGATCTTAAAAGTTCTCATCACAAGAAAAAAATTTTTAAACTATATATGGTGACAGATGTTAAATAGACATGATCATTTTGAAATATAAACAAGTATCAAATCATTATGTTGCACACCTGCAACTAATATAATATTATATGTCAAGTATACTTCAATTTTTTAAATAAACAAACAAAATAAAACAAGAATCCCAGAGATAAAGCAGTCCCAGGTGGGTTAACCCAATAGCTCAAATGGGTTATCCAAGGTCCAAGTTTTTCCGTATTTCTGCTCTCTTATCCTCATACTAAGTCCCCTCATGGTTATAAGATGGCTGCCACAGTTCCAGGCATCACACCAGAAACTAAAGTGTTAGAAGAATAGGAAGTGTTCCTGTGAGTTTCCTTTTATTGGTGAGAAACAATCTTTGCAGAAGACCACTCAGAAGATTCCTCATCATGTTTTATTGGTCACAATTGTGTCACACGCCCATGTCTAAGCCAAAAGGGATCACAGTGCAACCATCAGACTAATTTACTTTCAAACACAGGGGTAGGGTGACCTTTCAATGAATGATATGAGGGCAGAATGGACACCCAAATATATGGGGGATCCTGCCAGCTGAGAAGAAAGGGAAATGGGCTGTTAGGCAGGCAACCATCTGTGTCTGCTACAATTGGGAAGCAGGGGAAAATACATTTAACTTAATTGAATTTTTGGCTTAACTGTGGGATATGCCGAAAACCTTTTAGATTGTGACCTTAGTTATTGAAAATTATTCTGAAATGTATTAACTCCCTTTTCCCCTACTATGTAAAGTAGAATGACACTCCTTTTCTCCCACCCTTTGAGACTTCCTCCTTTACCCTCATCTACTGGATGGCACGAGTAAGCCTTAGCATCCATGTCTGTACAATGGGCTCCTGCTTCTCTGGGCAGAGATGATTGGAGCGGAGGTGTATACAGTGGACCCCAGCTGGACCAATCAGCTTCTCTTCCCTGTGAATTTGGAGCGGGGCACCATCTGATTACATCAGTTTCTTTACATGGTTGGGCCTGTAACACAAAATCTCCAGAACTGTCTGGCAGCTGTTTTTCTGCCATTTGGGATGTGAAAAAAAAAAGACTGATGTTTGGGAAGGTGAAAATGAAACAGATATACAGAGAGAACAGATACACATTTTGGCTCCATATGTTACCTTGAAATCCCCCCACCACACACAAACATCCAAATCCAGATCCAAGCTAGCGTGAGGTAGCTTACGTTACTTGCAACCAAAGAGTCCCAACCCATACGTGAGAACACAGCGTCCCTTTTCCGGGGTGACTGAGGATTCCGCAGCATTTGAGAGTCATTATTAAGAACTTCCAGTTCTCATTAGTCAGAACTCTATGTGCAGGAAACAAGACACTGAGTCACACCTGTCATAAGTTCACTCCAGAAGTTGCTACAAAAGTTGTCTTTGTTTGGTGGAAATCCTCACTATTGGTTCAGTTCCCAAAGCTTTCATTCTTTTCCCTAAAAAAAAAAGAAAAAGAAAAAATATTTAAACAAAACACTCTACAGTAAGGACAACCATTAACTGTGAGTGGTGTGTGTTGTGTTGTGCATTGGAGAGGCAGGGAATGGGACAAACACATATTGAGTTCCAGCTGTTTGCTTTCCATGTGTTGTTTACTTTAATCCTCACCACATACTATGCGGCAATCACTGTAAAACCATTTTACCAACGAGGAAGTGGAGTCTCAGGGAAGCACTTTGATTCTGTGAGGGTTCATACGGCTAGAAAGCCACGGAGGAAGATTTTAAAGCCAGATCTGAGGAGAACCAAAGCTAATGATGTTTTCACTATTCCACGTCATCATACAGGAAGAAAAAAATGTACCTGATTGGATGTCCTGTTGGGTCAACTCTGATTATCAGACTTTTGACTCTGGCTGTTGTATTTGCCTTACTAATACTGAATATTATGTATTTCAGGGAAAGAGACAGGAAGGATGACCGCCTAGCACCAGATCTATTAAGGATACTTCTGCATTTTCTAAATTAATCATTGCCACATCTGCTAGGAACAGAAGACCACAAGTTTTAACACCATATCTGTAAAGGTGGAAAACCTGGAAGCCAGAGAAGGTAAGTAAGTGATGGGTACAGATCGTTAGTGGGACTTAGAAGCACTTCGTAGCCATCTGGTTCTGACTATCTCAGTAGGTGTACATTCCTAAGCTGTTGATTTTTCTTGACTAATTAAAGCTGATTGGAGTTCTGGAGTTCGGCTTTGTTTTTGTTTTCCCCCGTCTTTCACATACTCGAATTCACATGCTGTCTTGCTGCTGCCAATTAGCAGTAACGCTGGGAGGCGAGTTAGTCCCTGCTGTTCCCAGCCTGTGTGGGAACCTGTCAGAACGAGATTAGGTAGATTCAGGCAAAACCGTACCCTTCCATGTGGTTTGTTCCTAGCAAGACAATCGTGAGAATGTTTAGCTCAAACTCTCCAAACTCCTTAGAATTGTCAGACATATAAAGCTGCCCATCTGGAATCTCTTGCAAATGAGAACCAAATTTGTATCCATTCCTGCTCCTGTTCTGTGGGCCAGTTAACCCTTCTCCACATTGGGAGTGTTGCCTTTGTTTTATTCGGATTTAAAAAACAAAGCAGTTGACTTGTTTTTCTTCATTGCAAAGAAATGTCACATGCTTCTTTTGACGCAGTCCAACGTTACAGACATAAAACGTAGAAAGGGAAAATGTGGCTTGGCGTCTGTAGTACTGTCGGTAGCCCTTCCTGTAAATCTTGCCAATGTCAAGAATATCTTGGGGAACGTAAACTACAGGAAAACTCCCATTAGTCAAAATGCCCAGAGAATGGGAGATTCCGGGTTATCTCAGAGTTACCCAGAAAATCCTTTTCACATCAAGCCTTGATGTTGAAATCTTACTGAAAGGTATGAGTCGAATTTCCTGCCCTCAGAAGCACAGTTTACTCTGAATGTGATTTAGTGCTTCTCTGGTAGTTGAGGGTCAGGCTGGACCTCAGGCTAAACATTCTGGACCCCAATTCCCATTGTCTAGAAGACAAAACAGGAGATTGGATAGAATTTGTACTTGACCCCAGGACTTGTTTTCGAAGTTCCATGAATAAGTGTCTTCTTCCATGTATTTTGCTCCTTTTCCCTTGCACAGGAAAAAAAAAAAAGTCTACAAAACTGGGGAGTTTTGCCTATACAAATTCCAGTAAAATCTGGATTTTACTGAATTTAAATTTTTTCACTTAGTCCTAATGACGGGTTCAGCTGAAGTCTCAGCCATCAGAATTTGGGACCATCCTCCTCCCCCTGGGCCCAGGCCCAGCACAGGTGGAACTGGAGGAGAAGGGAGTCCCTCCCCCAGTAACCTCCCCTCCCCCTCAAATAGAGAACAGAATGGTAGGGGTTCTGCCTTTGGTCATTTCTCCCCAGATCATCTGTCACTGTCTAGACCAGGGTTTTTCAACCTTGGCACTACTGACATCTTTGGTCAGACAATGCTTTGCTGTAGGAGGCTGTCTCGTGCACTGTAAGATGTTTAGCAGCATTTCTGGCCTCTACCCACTAGATGCCAGTAGTAACCCCCCCACCCCCTTAGCTGTGACAATCAAAAATGTCTCCAGATATTGTCAGATGTTCCCTAAGGGGCAAGATTTGCGGCCCCCGCCCACCCCTGGCAGTTCAGAACTACTGGTCTAGACAGAGACACAATTATTCTTTTTTTCCTCCTCTTGTCAAGATTATGAGTTTTCTTGACCTTGCCAAGTAATTTCATAACATGTTTCTCGTGCTGTTTCATGGAAGAACAAAAATAATTCTCTGATGAACGTAGTATTTTGATTTGAATTGTGTGAGAAAGGCCTCATTAAAACAAAACTGCAGGTTCAGCTTTGTTTTGAGAAGGCAATAGATTTATTTTCTGACTCAGTTCTGGTTTTGATTTTTAAATACTGAATTTTCACCCTTTCCTAAATTTCCTTTGAGGTCACTGTCATTATGGACATCAAGTCAGTGCCTTAGCCAGAGCCAATGGTCTCACCTTGTACTTTCATCCTCAATTTCGTATCTGCATCCATCTCAGAAATATTTCTACTCCTGTTGCTGCTTCCTAATGCTTAAGAGATTTTTAACTCACTGTTTTTTTAAATCCCTTGTTCCCTCTCTCCAGTGGATTGAGTTACATTTAAATTAGACTGCTCTTATTCAGTAGATTTCAAAAAAAATTCTGCTTAATTGGTGAAATTTGGGGGCTAGTTTTATACCCCCAATTTTAAGCTGACAGAGATATTTCTGCTACAGAAAGAAGGAGGAGTTAAATTGTTTAGGGTAAGCAGATTTTCTGTATGCTTTAACGCTGCAGTGAAAGTCTCTGTACATAAATCTTTGCACACACATCTTGGGAGCACTTTCAGCTAAAACTTGAGAAGATGAACACAGGGTCAAAGGGTATGAATGTTTTAAGCTTAAAACATATTGCCAAATTACCTCCGGAAGGTAGTGCCCATTTTCAGTCTCTTTATTGGCAATTCTTTTGAAGGGCTTCCATCTTGTTCTGTCAGCCTCTGGGCCTATGAAGACATTTCCCACGGGACATTCTTCAGACACATCAGTGTAATCAGATCCATCTCAAGGTATCTGTCAACAGTCTCCCTGGGCCCATCTCAGACCATCTGTCAATGGCAACTCTAATATATTTGGGGAAGATGCTGACGCAGTTGCCAAAAGCAAGCCTGCAATTGAATCAGGTTTTCCAATCAGTGAAGTTGCAGGATTGATCTGTGTAAATGACATGTGACAATCTTAGTATAATATCCAGAAACTCCAAGAAGGAATGTGTCCTTGTAAATTTAAAGGCGGCTGCAAGAGAGGGAAAGTGGCTTACCTTTCACATGAATTCTGTAGTGCTCACACCATCCCAACCATGTAAACTTGGCAGCAAGAACCGATTGCCAAGCCTTGGCTTCAGGCAAGACTGGAGAGGAAAACACCGCTTTGATGCAGGGCTGTATGACTTAGAAAGGTACAGTGATGGCCTCTGACTCTCACAGATGCAAGTGGTACCTTGAGTGGGTTTGTATTCCATGCTGCCAAACAATCTCTGACCAAGACACATACATAAGTGTGATAACTTCTGTGCTCCCAGGAGATGGAAAGAATCAGCTCTCTTACAGTGTATGAAATGGTCTGTAAATTGGAAAGCACTATACATGTATGAGTTCATAGCAGTTGTCATTGTATTGTTAGGAACTCTTAGCTAACTCTGAGATCCGGAATTGAAAACATCTAGAATCTATCCATTTTACTTTGGATGCACAAAACTGTAAGAGCCAGTGATGACCTGATGTCATCCCCTCCTTGGCCACTTGAACTCTAAAGAATCACAGAGCTCAAATCAGCCTGTAGCTTGCAAGAGATTGATACATATTTCAAGCATTCACACGGCTAGTTGCCTCCGCCCTCAAATGGATGAAGTGTTTTCTTTTCTCTGTACCACTGGCTAACTGAATCGCTTTTTGAAGTGTCACAGACAAGCACGGTCCCCAGGTATCCAGTCTGTTCTTTAGCTCCCTGGACCACATCATCCCCTTGGCATCTAGTCTGAATGAAACAAACCACCAAAGCCAGAGCAGACAGAAACCACAAGGAACACAGGAGAGACAGAGCCCGCGGCCCACCACCTTGCCAATAAGGCAGACTGGAAAGGCAGGCCTGACCTGAACGGCTTCTCACTATAAATAACTTTAATAAGAACGGGCTGTTCTTAGCCACCCTCAGACAATCTCAAAGTATCTTAACTGTGTCTCCTGCATGGGACTTGTCAGAGATAAGAATGGCCTGAATTCTTTCTGTTATTGCCAAAATGGGGATTAAAACAGCTAAGATTTCTAAAGTACTTTTACCTAGGTTACCTCATATGGTTGTTCCAATAATTCTACAAGCCAGGACTCTTAATGTCTTTCAGAGAAGAGGAAACTGAGGCCCAGAGAGTTTAATTATCTCACCCAAGGCTACACAGGAAAGAAATGGCGAAGCCAGGACATGAACCTCAAACTATGTAACTTCGAGGGCTCTGTTCTTTCTATTGGAACACAAAGACCCTTGAGTTGGGATATTCTTCCTGGCTTGGCTTGTGAGATGACCTTGTACCTGCAGACCCACAATCTTCCATCTCTGCCTCAGAAATGCTGTTGAGCTGTTGGAGGAAAGGGAATGGGAAGAAGGTGGACCACAGAAAGATATGGTCAGAATGAGAACTTAAGAGACTTCATCACATCGATGAAAAATTACTATTACAAAGCATGGCATCAATTTGCTTAAAAATTTGTGCAATTTCATGTGTTCGTTTTTCTATCTAAGTGAACCCACTCTGTTCTACATCAACTTAAATACTTTGCCAGTGTCTTCCTACCAGTTTTTGTTTAGTCTCACACTCTTAGGACTTGGGAGCCCTGACCATCTATGTTACATCTAGAACTGAGAATTGCCTTTCATTTTCCTTCAATCCTGAATCAGTGTGGAATTCAGAAGCAGCGTAGACAACTCAAGAGTGTACGATTGTGGCAGACACAGGCTGCCCAGTTAGGGTCCCATTTCCCAGTCTTCTCTGCCTCTAGTGGGACCCACGCGACTAGATACTGCCAAGAGACTGTGAAGTAGTTAAGAAGCAGGTGTATTCCTTCCAGCTCCCTCTCTTCCCCTCCACCTGGATGTAGAGAACTTTGGGGCTCATGATTCTCAAACTCAACTATACATCACAATCAACTGTGAAAACACAGATTGCTGGGCTCCATCCTTAGAGTCTTATTCAGCAGATCTGGTTGGGACCTGAGAAGATGCAAGTCTTACAAGTCCCAAGTGTTGCTGATGCTACCTGTCTGGGGACCACGCATTGGAAACCACTGCCCTAGAGCAACGTCTTAATGAAATACTGGTTGCACTTTATACTTTTCTGGTGGCGGGGTGGGGGGGGGCAGTGTTTTAAACATTTTGATGCCCAAGGTGCTATTTAAACCAATGAAATCAGAGTCTCCTAAGATGGGACCCATGGATCAGCATTTTTGACACTCAGCAGGTAATTACAAGGTGCAATTAGAAGTTGAAAACTGTTGCCTTAAAGTGGAGCCTTAAGATGGAAGGAACATAGGTTCTTAAATCACTAAGTGAAGGAAAGAAGACTGTCAGTGAGGAGTATCCACTTCAAACTGTTATATGAACAAGACATGAGCTTTTATTATGTTAGGCTGCCGAAACTCTGCAGATGATTTGCTACTGTAGCCAGTGTAATCCTAACTAATGTGATAATGGTAACTATTAAGCTTTCAGAAATTCTCCTTTTACCTCCTGCCTTGCTCTCCTCGGAGAAGGAAAGTAGTGATCTGACTCGTTCTAAGACACTTATTGGCTCACATTTTCTAAAGATGACATTTCAACAGAAATAAGATTATAGCACATGTCACATAGGCAGAGTCTCCTTTTCTCTCTTCCCTGTGATCTGAATAGCAGGGCAGTTCTACATTCGCCTCTCTCCACCCCTTCATTTTCTCTCTCCTTGGTCAACGTTCATCCTCCTACCCAGAAACAGATTCAGAGTTCTTGACTCTGCCTGACAGGTGTTAAAGTAGCCAGATGAGGCCCAGGATGGAGTTGCTCATGCTAAGCCCCATATCAGCAAACCAAAACTCAACTGAGGTTTGAGGCTCAGCTCTCCTGGAAAAGGAAGGCCCAGGTCAGCCAATCAGGGCTTTCTTGCTTAGTACAAATACCTGATACAAGTCATCTGCTCCACGACTTCCTTTCGCTCCATATAAGGAAAGCAACTCTGCTTTAATTAATCAGTAAATATAACTACATATACACAACTCTTTGTAGCTCCTTTCCAGATGTTAGATTGGATGCTGTTGGGTTCCTGAATGGATGAATAAAACCAATAAGATCTTTAAAATTTATTCAGTTGAACTTTGTTAACACAGGACTTGGGCAGCCACTGAGCAAATGTTCTGGGCAAAGGTGACACAGTGCTCTTTCCCTTCCCTGATGTATGTCAAAACCCAAAAGTCAAAATCAAACCAAACCAGTACAATAAAAAACCTGATCCAACACTTATCAAACTGGTTATACCTGAGAATGAAATTGAGTGACGAGGAGAAAGAACATGAGGTCCATTCTTACTTACTTGAATTTGCCTTAAGGTTTTGGAGCAAAGCTCACTCTAAAAATAGTGCTTCTTACAGCCTGCATGGGACACTGCAGAGAGAGACGTTGGTGGGCCAAGGCACGATTCAGCTGATTCTGGGTCCCCTGATCAGATGTCTTCATCCTTTTACTGATAAGATGTTGTGACTGAGATGGTAACATAAGCACTTAAAAGGCATAGTGACAAAAAAAAAAAAGACATGGATGATTTTTTTGAGAAATTCAACCCATGTCCGTGTTCACCTTAAGGCACACCCAGCAATCACCTGAATAAAATGGACAGATTTCCCACCCCCCATAAAAGTGTCAAGGTTTGATGGAAGGGAATGGCAAGGCCAATGGTTCTAAAAACATATTTTGCAGGTTCTGCCTTCTCATGATAATTGTGGGGGGACAAATCCCTCAGAATTGCTTTCCTGGCTGAGGGGTTGTGATCCGCATCGTCCTCGGACAGCTCTTATTCTCGGAGCTTCCTCTCAACTTCCCACAGTGTGAAATAAACAACTTTCTGAGTTGCAAGCAACAAAATCCAACCCAAGATTGTAGAAACCCAAGGAAAATTTACTGAATCACGTAATCGAGTGTCTGGAAACAGAATTTGCTTCAGAGATAGACTGATCCCGAGGCTCAAGCACGGTCCTCAAGATCCAGTGTCTCGTCTTCCCGGCTTGGTGGTATCTGCAGATAGGCGCTCCCTATGGGTAGCGAGGTGGTCACCGCGTCTCCAGCCTCACACGCCTCATCCCTAAGCCCAGCGAAGATGGAGCGGGAGTCTCCTTCCCAGAATTCCTAGGGAGAGTTTCACGGCTTCTCTTACTTGCTCTAATTAAGTCACATGATTATCAGGGAACCAATAGTTGGCAGCCAAGGAAGTATAATGCTCTGATTGGCTTAGGCCTAAATCACATGCTCTATGACTGGGCCCTGGGTCTAATCCTTCTGGAATCACATGGCCGAGACGGGTAAGGTTTGGTGGAGTTGTCAAAAGACAGGGGAATGGATTTTGGGTGGTCAAAAAGCCACGGATGTCCGCCACGGTACCCCTAACTACCAGGGTCAACTCCAGAAAATTCTTCAATTGTTTACCCCTAGAACGCAGTTTACCGGGCACGTCTAATTTGCCGCACAGCTTTTCCGACGAATGGCAATAAAAGGGGACATGGAAGGGGAAAGATGGACGCAAGAATAAGCCTAAAAAGAGACCAGAGCTCAGGGGCAGAGATTTCCTGGGAAGAGAAGAATATGACTGCTGGAATGAAGGCTGTGTTACCCGCTGTGATTGTCATTTCCCCAGGCAGAGCAGCCCACGACACAGGAACTGGATACTAAGGGTTGGAGATACTCTCTGTCCAAGGAGCCTCATCAGGCGAATGCTTCTTCCTCTGTTAGCCCCGGGCCACTTCTCTTTCTCCACTCTCTTGACACACACATAGATCCTTTTATGATGCTCCATGGAAACCAGAGATGGAATGAATCAAAAGTGGTCAGAGGAACCATTGTCCTCCCTTGTAAAATAACCGAACCCTTGTTAATTTGTTGCCAGCCTTATATTTCTCCCGGAGAGATCCCCATTGGATGGAAGCTGTAAACAGGAAACTCGAAACCCTCAGTCATCCTTTGTATTACTTACTGTTTGTGGGCAGCTGCAGGGGATTTGCCATACAGTGCTTGAGGGATGAGGGGTGGGGGGTGGGCAGCAGAGGTTGAATCCTAGTGGGGAGATAAGCAGTTTATATTTCTAAGACGGAACACTCAGAGGAGAAACTTTATTTCTTCAAAAACAAAGTAGAAATGAGACTCAGAGATGAGGGAAGAAGCATTTTTGGTAGGTGACAGAATTGCCAAAAAGGTAAAAATAATTTAGTTTTCCTTGGTGTACAATTGGCAGGCCCCCATGCTGTGGCTAGAAGGAAAAATAAAACCCCCTTAATTTACTATAGTACAGCTGAAGATGGATTACTGCTACTGAGAATACTGAAGCATTGGGGTACTAGAAGTAAATTGCAAGGCAGAGCACACTTCAGAACTGCTTCTGCCCACGTCCAAGGGAACCCGTATTACAAAGATGGTTTCCAGTGAGGGTTAGAAGCTAGGATACTGGTGTCAGACTCTCTGGGTGTGAATCATAGCTCTCACACTCACCAGTTGTGGGACTTTGGAGAACTCACTTAACCTTTCTTTGCCTCAATTTCCTCATCTGTAACATGGGACTCATAACAGTACCTACCTCATTGGGTTATTTTGAACATTAAATAAGTTATTATTTGTAAAGTACTTAGAACAATGACCAGCTCATGGTAAGTGCCTGTATGTATTAGCTATCATTATTACTAACCGAAGAAATAAACGTAGCAACTTGATATAACATTAATTTATTACTGTATTTTCTATATTTCTTTATCCAGGGCACAGGGCAACCTCCCTGTGTCAGATAAGGGCTGATCCCAGCACGAGGGTACTTTCTTATTAAGTCTGTGTTTCCTTGGGAGCCTGGGCCCCATCATCAGAGTGGGTGCCTGTGTATCCAACCTGACCCACCTCACCCACATCTGAGAGTCCAGCATCAGCACTGTCGTTCTCCGTACTTGGATCTGCCTCTTACCAGGATGATTAATGACTGAATGTCCTCTGAAACTCTTCCCACAGAGGTATGACCTCAACCTTTAACCTCAGAAGTTTCTTCATGGCTGAACACAATGGTCAAATATCAGTGTAGTTCTCGTATTCTGGAACTTTTCAGTATAGATCCCCAAACCTAGGTAACTTCCCCTCCTTTGGAATGTAACCCCTATGGGATTGGTGCCTTTATGCTGTTTGTTCACTGCTGTAGCTCTGTCCAGAACCAGGTAGGCACTGGATTTGTTTGTTGAGTGAATAAATGGATGACTGGATGGAGTCAGCTTTCGCTTTTACTACACATAAGACATCAGCCTCACAGTCCAGGTTGGGTTTTGCCCAGTTCCATTTTCCCAACAACGATCAATGCATGAGGAAGCTCAGACTGGCTGCAGTTTTTTTTGTTTTTTGTTTTTGTTTTTTTTTTTTTTGCAGGCTTCTTGGGTCTCTAATCAGTAATTCTGAGTAGCTAGCCACACCTCACCCCCTCATATACCCAGAAAAATAAATTAAGATGTAGTATAAATCTCTTCAGGGGAAAAACCTTTTCTTCAAATAAAAAATAAAATCAAGCAATATTACCTGTGAAACAGACAATTTACCAAATGAAACATTTCTCACAGTAGGGACCAAATGGATTACTGGGTACATTCAATAAAGACCAAGGTGTTATCTTCTAGGTTATTTGATTCTGCGGGGTCTCTGTACCTTTCATCGCCCTGAGCTGTTTTACAGCTTTGTAAGTGGTAACTATCAACACCAATGCAAATAATTTTTTTTCTGAGGACACATGTAAGCGTTTTCTGTGACTGCTTTAAATATTACCACAAATTTGATGACTTACTGTAACATAAATTTATTATCTGATATTTTCTATGGGTCAGGAGTCCATGCACCTGTTAGCTGGCTTTTCTGCCCAGGGTCTCAGCAGGCTGACATCAAGATATTGACCTGGTCTCATGTGGGGCTTGGTTCCTCTTCCACGCTTACTGGTAGCTGGCAGAGCTCATCTTGCACTTATAACACTGAGGTCCCTGCTTTCCTGCTGGTTGTCAGTTCTCAGCTTCTGGAGGCTTCCTGCCATTCCCTGCCAGGTGGTCCTCTCTGCTACTGGCAGTTTGCCCCTCAGAGTCCAGCAGAATCTCTCATACTTCAAATCTCATCTTTCAGGAAGAATGAGTCCAGTATCCTTTAACGGTTTTGCTTGGTTAGGTCAGGCCCACTCTGGCTAATCTCCTTTTTGATTAATTCAGAGTCTCAAAGATTTAATTACACCTGCAAAATCCCCTCACTTCACCTTCGACACCTAATAGAATGTCATCATGAGAGGAAATCTGTCACAGTCGCAGTCCCGGCCATCCTCAAGGGGAGGGGACTATACAATATGCATACTCCAGGGGGTAGAATTCTGCGTACCACAACATGCAAATAGATTTTGAAAATCATCACTCCCATCCTCCCTCAAGCCAGTTTTGCATCTGTTAAGCACATTTGTATCAGCCTACATGTGTATGGATCTGCTTTTTAAACACTCCCTGGAGCCCATTGTATCACCTTACTGGTTCCTTAATTAATGAGTCAAATAAAATCTTTGACACATGTTCATTTTATATTTGTATGAGTCATGATTTTTTAAATATTATCCTTTAATATCACTTTTTTCCTTTTCCTGATTTTGATTAATTTTATTTATTTTTTTAATTCTAGTATAGTAAGTTTACAATGTTGTGTCAGTTTCTGGTGTACAGCATAATGTTTCAGTCATATGTATACATACATGTATGTGTTTTCATATTCTTTTTCATTATAGGTTACTATACGATATTGAATATAGTTCCCTGTGCTATCCAGTAGAAGCTTGCTGTTTATCCATTTTATATACAGTGGTTAGTATCTGCAAATCTTGAACTCCCAATGTATCCCTTCCCACCCCCTTTCTCCCCAGTAGTCATAAGTTTGTTTATATTAATAGGTATTTTAGAGTTTCTCTTAAAACCATGGTTGTGTTGCTTACTTTCATGTGCATAACTAAAGGGCTGTTTCCCTTTTCCAGAAATTATCCCAAAGTAATATTCAAATTGTACCTCTTGAGACCTAATACTGTTTACTTCTTTGAAAGCATAATGTTCTAAATTTTACTGATTTCACTTTAAGTGACTTAATCCTGGCACCCAGTCACACCACTACTATTGACTTAGCATTAAGAGGGACAAGTAACAACCCCGCCTTACCAGCCCTAGATTAACTTCCTTGTTAGGAACAAAAAATATCAAAGGGCCCTGCTGATACTTTCTCTTGGAATCTTGGGATCCTAGGATTTTGCTTCAGGGATGGGCGGAGGGTTTTTTCCCCTCTGTGTTCAAAACGATGCACTTTTCTTACCACTAGCCATGACTTTGAGGGGAAAAGATGTGAGTAAAATTAAGGATTACCTATCTGTGCTTAACCTGGTGCCCGATGTATAGTAGGTGTTCAGTAAGTGACAGCTGTCTGCTTCCTTTCCAGCCAGACCGTGAAGAGTAGAGTCAGAAGAGGTTTCGGTTCCCTGCCTTATCCTGGGGTCAATCTCCTTGAAGGCAGGGCAAGTCTTTCCGAAGTGAGTATGGCTCACAGCCCACTCCCACTTGCTTTCCTAAGCAAAGCAAAATCTTGCTTCTGCCAGCTTGTCATCCCACTTAAATAGTGCATAATGGCTGTATCAGTATCCTGTCTTCTCCCAGTCACTTCACTTTGTAATGTGTAAACGCTTATTGGCACACAAAAGCAATCTACATCAGCTGCTGTGAAGTGCAAGGAATGATTCTGATCAGTCTGGCAGAGTATGAGGCCACTGGAATTGTATTTTGCTTCCCTCCTCTCCAGTCAGGAGCCAGGCTGACATTCTGGACAGTCATAGCCAGACGATTTTCCTGTCCAAGTTTGAAAAGGATCCACCCAGTCTTTGTAACTGGTCCCCCAGTTCATCCCCCATGCTACCTCCCTCTCAAGTTCCCTCTCGCTTTGCCTCTGCCTTCAACTGCAAAGGCTGTATTGTCATAGTGTTTGCCTCCCAAGCCATTAGCAAATATTGAGTATGTTTCAGCAAAGTGTGTTCTGGAGAGACAGAAAACCCACATGACTGCCTTTATCCATTTTTCATTACTATGTGGCAAGGGTGAAACAGCAAGCTAATATAGAAAAAGCATTAAAGAGGGGACTTAAGATAGGTGAGGACGTGTCGAGTGCAATGTAAAACTTGAAAAGGCATTCAAGTGTGAGCAAGGCAAATCTTTGAAATTGCTTCCGGATCCACTGTTACAGGTTACGTTGTCTGCTAGCTGTATTGATTATTTTTATGTAATTTATTTGTTAGCATTTCTGCTAATGGACACTTCTGAATCATCTTCTGCATTTAATGTATCTAATACCCATTGATCAGGTCATTGGCTTATTGGTTATCTACTTTGCTGCCTAATGATTCTCTATGATTGCTTTTTTCATTATGCATTTTTATTCCAGGAGCAGTTTCAGTTGTGTCCCATTACGCTAATGGAAGTTATTGATATGGAAATTACTAGGCGCTGAGCTTACGAATTCTATGATACCCAATAGCATTGCATTTCTTCAAGTGGTAGAATTGTTCCTGTATAATTAGCAGTAAATATTGACATGCCAGTGAAATTAATTAATTAAACTCAAAGCAAAAGCAGAAGTAATATCTTTAGAAAGGAAAGGAAGCACCAAATATTTTGCAGTGCTATGTATACTTTGTTAAAAATAAATACAGCGAGTTGAGTGTTTATGCTTAACACTTTGTGTTGAAAATTCTTCAGCATCCCTAGTTAAACACAAGAATATTTTTGATTATAGTTGCTGTAAACATACCCACGTTGCAGATAGAAAAGTTAGCCTCAGAGTTGCTCACATCTGCATTATGTTGTCCAGTATGGTAGCCACTAGCCTTATGTGGCTGTTGAACACTTGAAATATGGCTAGTGCAAATTAAGGTGCATTGTAATTATAAAATGCATACTGAATTTTGGAGATTTAGTGTGAGGAAAAAGAGTATAAAATATTAATATTTTATTGATTATATGTTGAAATGATAATATTTCGGATAGTCAATAATAATAAAACATTGAAATTAACTTCATCTCTTTCTTTTTTCTTTTTTTCTCTCAGTGCGGCTACTAGAAAAGTTTAAGTTATATTTGTGGTTCACATCATATATCCTCTGGACAGCACCAGTCTTAAGTGGGTAGTGTTTTGTGCTGTGCTGTCCAATAAGGCATCAAATAGCCCACATGACAGTTCTATTTAAATCTAAATTACTCAAAATTAAATACAAAATATAAAATATAAATACAAAATTAAATACCAAACTTAAAATTCATTTCCTCCTTTGTGCCAGGCACATGTTAAGTGCTCTTGCCAGGTGTGGCTGGTAGCTCCCATTCTGGACAACACAGAGAAGGCTTACCTCACCCTAAAAAGTTCTACTGGAAAGTGCTGGTCTAGCACATCACTACCCAACTGGAATTGAGAATGCCTCTCCGCTAAGCCATTGTCCATCGAGACTGTAATGAAAATAAACTTGTCCTAGTGAAGGTAAAACTGTGCAAATAATGATAGCATGTGGGTGGCAGGGATGGTTATTAATAAGGTATTTGTCCTTGGAAGTTGTCATCTCTAAGTGCTGTGCAGAATATAGCTTCAGAGACAAACAAGTTTCATGTCAGCTCTAATCCTCTCTTTGTAGGGGTCTGGTATCTGAGTCCAAAGAAGCTAGTCTACTAAACAGGGTCTGTGGTCTTAACAGCCAGAGAAGTCCAGCGTTTCTTCCCCTGGGCTGCTGCTCTGAGGTTAAGAGAATAATGAGAACAGTATGTTTGTTTAGGGGTTCGGGGGCTGCGGGATGGGGAGGTCACAGATTTCAAAGTAAGCACTTAAGGGGAAATTGCTGTAAAGCCAAGAGTGCAAATTATTCTTAAACCAACCCTTTCAGAATCACAAGCCAAATTAATTTCTTCGGTCTCTCTTTGATTTTGGCTGTGACCTCTTCTTAGAGCCAGAGAAGGCCCAGGTGTGGTTGGGAAAGTATGAGGAGACAAAGGAGGAAGTGAACCAGAGTTTCTCATTTTCTTTCTTTGGCACACTCTCTTTCTCGTGACTGGGGGGATGAGTGTCCAAACACATTTATTTGGCTGTGTGCACGACGGAACGCCTCTGTCATTTTGTGTCCTTTATTCTCTTTGTCCAGAAGTGAAGATACCAAGGGAGTGATTGTCCTGTTTTCAGAGAAGGAAACCGAGGCTGTGAGTGATTAAGTCCACTGTCCAAGGTCACTTGCTGGTTAGTAGCTAAACCATGATTTAAACCCAGGTCTCCCTGAAGCCCAACTCTGTTTTACATCTAAACACCTGTCTGGGGCACCCAAGTGTTGGGAGCGTGGGCACCTGGGATTCCCTGCTGCCAGCATTAACGTGGGTATAAATGAGTTAATACTGTCAACTGTTCCGAGATGTGTTACTTAACCTGTGAGTGTCTCCAAGGACTGGAGTACACAGGCTAAGAGTCTTTGTTTTGTCACTGATAAATGATCCGCAGGCCCTTAATCCTGGTTGCATATTCCTCATTTGTAAAGCTGTTGGCATGTTTGCACTGAGCACATCCCTCACTGCCACCTTACCTTCCCCTGGCAGCATGGGGATGGTTTTGTTTCTTTTTTTCTTTAAGATTTTATAAAGCTTGAGTATAAAATGGGAATGTTTTCATCAACGCTGAAGCTTCTTTAGTGGTGCTAATTTCTAGAATTGAAATGTTCCTTTCTGGCAGTTCAGATCCAAAGTCCTCAGCAGTGGGGAGCGGGGGCAGAGAAACAGGAAACCACTCTGTTTCATTGTTCATGCTCAACAACAAAAAACATTAAACGGCCTAAAAAGTGCAAGCCGGAGAGAAGTTCTTAGACATTCTCTCCTCTGAATTTGAGTGATGGTGATGAACATAGCAATTGGATGCTTCTCTTCGTTCTGCGTTTTTTTGTTTTCCTTCCTAGTGCCGGGCAGCCACGTCTTCGACCCCTGGGGTGACCCAGGCCACACTGTGCAGTGCTGGGCACGGGACCAGCAGGTCACTCAAGTCACCTTCGCCAGCAGCTTACCTCCCGGCCCTCCCCTTGGGAATGGCGTGACCAAGGGGTGAAGAGCTGCCCTGGGCAGCCCCATGAGGCCCTTTTGCACAGTCCGCTAGAGAGCTTAGCACTCAGCCAAAGTCTGCAGGAAGCTTCCCGTGGTGAGACTTTTTTCTGAGCTACTTTCTGCTGTTTTGTATCCCCATCCCTGTTTTAGTGTCTGTTTTTGTTTCCGAATTATTAGAAGGCATGAAATCTGCCTTCTCCTATGGAACCAGCAGGATGTAAATAAGTAGGTACTTAATGTATCAGAACAGCAGGCCTTTCCCCTCACTTCTTGCCTGTGGCTTTAGGAGTTCAATAACCTCCTTTTGTCTTTTGTCCCTCAACCCTAATCACACCTGAAAGACCCTAAGTCCTCTTTGGATATGCCGACTTTTTTTTTTTTAATTGCATGTAGCTGACACCATCCTAGCCTTCTGATCAAGAGATTACAGACACTGTAAAATAACGAAACGAATTCAACAACTAACATTGAGTAAGTGCTTATTCTCTGCCAAGTGCCTTATGATAGATGCCTCATCCCATTTAATTCTCACAACAGTCCTGAGATAAGTGTAATCATCAGTCTTAGTTTGCAAATGGGAAACAGGCTTAGAAGGATTCTGTAACTTATCCAAGGCCACGCGTGTGGCTCGTAAGTGGCGGGGCAGGCATTCCGGGCCGTGTCACATCTATCTCAAGTGCCTCACCAGCAGAAGGCCAGCTTTCCAGACTGCCTGCGATGGAACAGGAGGACATTCCTCAGGCTGGCCTCCAGGCTGACCAGACTAGAAGACCAGGCACATTCAGGTATCTCTCATTATGTGACATAGCTCTGTATTTGAAAATCATCGTGTTAGTCCTGGGTAAGGTAGGCAGTAATAAATCCCAGGGCTCATTTCTTGCTTGCACAGAATCCACTGTGGAAGCCCAGGTTGGGTGGAGACGGAGTGTGTGTGCAGACAGTTGACAGCCTGGGTGGGAATTCAGGCACCAGACCTGTGAGGTAAGAAGCTTCCAGATACTTCTCGCTCTTAACATTGTAAGTCACCTCCAGCTGGACACATCTTCACTAAGGCCCCAGACATTCTGGAGGGAGAGCTAAGTCGTCCCCTGTGTCTTGTCTGAAGTCCTCTCCATGGAGTGTGGGCACCTATTAAAATGACTGTTTTTTGTTTCTGAAGGGGTGGATCACCTCAGCACACAGGTTGGATTTGCACATGCTGCAGGGTACACCTTTCACCCACCCAGCATCTATTCACTGAGCACATGTTGGGAGGCAGATGCTACTCTGGGCCTCCATCAGTGAACAAAGTATCTAAAGACATTTGTCCCCATGGTGCTTCTATTCCACAGGGGAAATAGTTGCTGGTTTTTCCAAAGACTTATTTGAAGTCTGTTTTTCTAGGAATAAAAGTAATGTTTGCTTCTTCTATAAAATTTGAGAAATACATGAAATGTTTAAAAAATACAAAAAATCCAATAGAAAATGGCAATCACCTTGCAGCAATAATGCCTGATTACTTTCTATTGTATTATCTTACACACAAACACACACACGTATGCTCTCCAATTATGTATTCAGTCACATTATGTATTCAGTTTTGTATCCTACTTTTTTCCCTCCCATGTAGAGTGTATGGCAAACTTAGTCCATATTTGGGCTGCTTACAACTAAATACCTGACACTGGGTGGCTTATAAATAGCTGAAATTTCTTTCTCACAGTTCTGGAAGCTGGGAAATTCAAGATTGATATACCTGCAGACTGGTGGTCTGGTGAGAACCTAGGCCCTGATTTAGAGATGGCAACTTTTTGCGGTGTCTTCATGTGTAGGAAGGGGTGAGGAGGAAGCTCCCCTGGGGTTCCTTTATAAGGGCACTAACCCATCCATGAGGGCTCCACCCTCATGACCTAATCACCTCCCAAAGACTTCACCTCCTAATACTGTCACCTTGGGGATTAGGATTTCAACTTTTGGACTTGGGGATGGCACAAGCATTCAGACCACTGCACAAGCTTTTCCTCGTGTCACTAAAATATGATTTTTAATGGCTGCCTATTGTTTCAGCAGGTAGCAATACTAACTATTTAACCATTCTGCAACTATTTTACATTTCAGTTGATTCCAATTTTTCACTGTGATAAGCAACGCCTTGAAGAACAACCTTATATATGAATCTTCAGCTGCATCTCTGTTGGTTTAGAATATAATCAGAGAAGGGTGATTACTGGTTCAAAGGGTATGCAAATGTTCAGGCTCTTGATAAATATTGCCAGCTTGCTTTCCAGAGTGTTCGCACCAATTTACATTCTCACCTATATTTTATGAGATGCTGCTCTCCTGCCAGTATTCGGTATTAGAGTGTTTCTAATCTTTGCCAATGTGTTACACTGAAGCATGCTGTTTCATTTTAAGACTGGTTCACTGCCTAGGTTGCTCAGTAATTACTGGGATTTGCTCAAACCTGAGTTTTAATCCCAGCTCTGGCACCTTCTAATAAGATATGTAACCTCTCTAAGCATCAGTTTTCCTTCCATCAAATCGTGATAGTTCTTCTGACTTTTGGGGATATTGAGTGAATTAGATATATTTAGATTTATAAACTGTTTAACACTGTGCCTGTTACAGGCCAAATAAATGGTAGCTATTATCATGGGTGTGACAATTCAAAAGTTATCAACACGTAAATAGTTCAAGCCTGTTTTCTTCCCTCTACGTCTTAATGAAGATTCTGATTTTGCTCCACTGTATTTCTTTCCCTTCCTTCTCCTCTGAAGAGGGGCTGCCATTCTTTTGGGCTTTTGTGAATTAGAACTAGGTGGAATGAGAGAAAAAAGGACAAAGAGATGCACTGACCAGGGACAGACCACCCAAACTCAGTGGCTAGTGATGATGTTCATTCTCTTGCTCCTGGATTTGGTATTGGCCAAAAGTCGGCTGGTGGTGGCTGGGCTCAGCTGGGTGGCTCTGCTTCAGGAGTGGGGCTGCCTGGGCTTGGCTCCAGGCTGTGAGTGGGTTCAGGTCGGCCCCAAGTTTTCTTGATCTGGGCCCAATATTGAATGAGCAGGATGTGTTCTCACGGTAGATCACGAGAGCAAACCAGGTCAAGTCAAAACCCACAGCAAATTTAAGGTCTCTGCTGCTGTTACACCTGCTGATATTCCACTGGCCGAAGCAAGTCACTTGGCCCAGCCCAACCTCAGTGGGGTGGGAAGTCTCCTCCCCCACCATAGGAAGGGGAGAAGAGTCAATATGTGCAGAACAGATGGTCATAAGGAAGGTTTCCAGGATATTTCAGGAAGAGGGTGCTAGACAGTGTGTGGTATACATGGAAACTGGAAGAAAAGAAATCATGAGGCATGTTGGGTATATGTGAGATTTTACAAATCAGAATCCTTTTAATTTCCGAACGTCTCCAGTTAAGAACTTATAAATTACTTTTTGTCTCTCTGGACTGGGCTTGATCAAATGGTACTTCCCCTAGGGACTGAACTTATGGTGTAAAGGCTTCCATGGTGTCACAAGTGGGAACAATTATTGTCTCTTCTACTGTCATAACCCTACACACCTCTTCTTCTTTGGATATCTTAGACCTTTTAAGCATTCTCTGAGGGTTTAGGGGTTTTTCTTCTTCTTCTTCCACTAGTAGAAAATTATGGATAGTGGTTTCCTAATTGTGATTTACCCAGCAGAGGTCCAGTCTCCACAGGAACGCCTCCTCTCCATCTCATCTAAAGTAGGACAGACATAAAGTTTCAGAAAACTTGGACAGGGGAGCCCAGGAGCAGAGAATGAGAGTACCAGTTGGGTCTCAATCATGGCCCAGAAACTCTAAATTCACCTACAGAATCTTCCAGTGAAATCAGATTGACACAGGGCGTGACACTGGTGAGAAGAGCTCTAATGAGAGGAACTGTGTCTCTGTGGCGGCTTTATGGTCTGTGTAAAAAGCCTCCCCTTGCCTCACAGGAGACCATTTACCTGGAACCTGACAGCAGACTAATGTTTCTGAGCTCCGTGTTTGCTTAGCTCTCTGGATGGCTGGCACATCACATGCATAACATTACCCTACATTCCCAGTAGGATGAGGGACTTGCTGATAAATTCACCCCCAGTTCTAATTCTCATTCACGCTGACTCTCGGTAGACCAGCTGAACAGGCTCCGTCAGCCCTGCTCCTCTCTCTAAATGTCTGTTGATAACTTTACCCATAGCATTTTTGTTTCATTTCAAAGAAAGCAGTGTTCTTGACCTCTTTTTAAAAAATCCATGCTGAGAAGAGTCATAGACTGCATAAAGAATTGCATTAAATAATTGGTCCTCAGCCTTCTGAGAGCTGTGGCATGGGACATCAGTATCCATTGGGCTTTCATTGGAATAATAGGCAACAAATGTGCTTTTAAACATATAGTATATTTGAGTGTTTGGGGTAGGGAATTGTCTATGATTCTGTCTCTTTAAGTTGTTAGAAGGCATTTTTAAGAGTTTTAAAATATCTGTGGCCCTATTTCCATAATAAGAAGGGAATGTATATATAAAATCTGCTCTGCTATTATTTCTTCCTCATTCCCATCCCATCCACAGACGGTTGCTTTGTTTGTTCTTTTCCAAAGTTTCATTATAGGCAATACTTTCACAAGGTTAGATGCTTCCAGCTCGGAGTTGGATAAAGCAAGTTGGAATCTTCAGCCATCTCCTGGTTCTGTGACCTTGCATAAGGTACTTCCCCTTTCCTGCCTCTCAGTTTCTTCTTCTGAAAATAAGGAAAAGAATAGACCTACCTGTGGAATGGCAGGTACCTGGTGTATCAGAAGCCTCACCACTTGGCCCTGGTCGGATCTGGGCTGTGGCTGCGGTGGGCGGCTTCCCCACACACTCTGGCTGGGCCCAAACTCCGGTGTCACCCTGGCTCTCAGCTTTGCTGCCTCGGGGTCTTTTCCAAAGTGGGGCAACTGGGAAGCTCAGAGGGTTAACGCTCACCAGTGGGGGACAGGAGGCCGTGGATAAATGTCTTGGTCCCCGAGTCAGAGGGATAATTTGAGGTGTGGTCTCCTCGGATCCCAGAGAGTCCACACTGGGTTGAAACTCAGTTGCTGATTGTGTTAACCAGCTCCACAAATGCACCTTTCACTGACTCTTTCCCACTGGCCGTCGTCCCCCTGTCTTCCTCCCTACTGCTTCCTGGGATCACCTCCCACTAAACTCCCCGACCCAAGTCCTTGTTTCAGGCCCTGCTCGGGGGACTCCCAACGAAGAAAACACTCAATAAATATCCGCTCTTATGATTTTTGTGGAAAAACTTTTCTATCCTAGGAAGACCAATTTTGGAACTTAAATTCAAGACGCATGTTGAGATATTTTTTTTTCTCATTTGCTATTTTATTTAAATGGAAAAATATACAGACGGATAAACATTGCCTCATTTGGTTACACATTTAGCAAATCCTGTGCAATCAGATTGTCCCCTCAATACTGGAAACTGCTGGTGTCTGTGCTTCCTTTTCTTTCCAGCCATTTCTCACTCGTGCTTTGGGGAGGAACTGGGCGGCGGGGGTGATGTGGGGGGCGCTCGGGGTCTCGGTGTCTTTATCCCCACAGGCGGCTGGCTGTATTGGTGTACGCTGCCTGACTCTCAGCCCTGGTTCTCCGAATTGGCATTCAGTTCTCCAGACTCTCTTACCCAATCCCTTTTTGATCCCAAATAATGGCCTTGGCAGAACAACTGAGCAGGATGAGGATTCTAGCCAGTGACCTGAGAACTCTTTTTTTCCCCTCGGGGCAAAGTCAACTGTCCCATAACAGTTTCAACCTCTACTTTGGCTTCATTGGCTCCTTGCTGAGAGATTTGAGCCAACTGGCCTACGTGGACAGGTTCTAGCATTACCACGGCCTGATCTTTTCCCCCTTGGAAGTGGTCATTGTAATTACCCTGGCATCTTGCTGGGATCAGGCTCGTGGTTATGTGGCTGGGAGCTGAACCTGGCCGGGGGGTTAGCACACCTCGTGAGATGGGCTCCTGGGGGCAAAAGTCCTTCCAGTTCTCTTTTAAATTCAGCCTCTCCTTGGCTGGGCCACGAGGGCACAGGCATTGCCAAGGTGACTTGACTTTGTGTGTCCTGGAGTTTATTGCCTTTTGCATGTGCAGTGCTGTTTCCTGCTATTATGATTTCTGGTAGGATTGGCGTTGATTTCTGGCTTTCTATTGTTTTTCCAGCTGAAATGTTTTATTCCTTCACTTGGCCATTTCACGAAGCTTAGTGAGGACACCCATCCTGCTCGTGGATGGTCATTTTAGAGGGTGTCACTGCTCCCAGCTTCTCCTCTTGCCCAGCCCTGGTGAGGGATGAGGCCAAGGATGAGCTGCAGCTCTGGCGCTTACTGACTGTAGGACTGTGGGCTTAAACCTTGATTTCTCTGAGCCTTTGTTTCCTCAACTGTAGGGTGGAAATAAAGACAGGACAAAGAGATCATGTGAATCATAGTAGGAAGCAACCTAAGTAAGGTCTTCGTTCCTTTCGGAAGTATCAAAGGAACTCTTGCCACACTTCAGCCCAAGCTCCCAGCCTGAGGGAGCAGTGGTTTGGTGGGGGAAACGACACAATAATAGACAATTGAGATACAGACTCAAAAATCCTGCAAACAGGGATAAGTACCAGGTGTTCCAAGAGCACACAGGAATGAGGCTTAACTCAATCTTGAGGGCTCATAGAGGGCTTGTTGGAAGACGTATGAAGACAGTAATACTAGTTATGAGTAGTTGGGTGCTTACTTAGTATGCTAAGTACTACCTGATTTAGATAACCTACCTAAATCCTATCTTATCTTAACCTGTCTTATTAGGGTCTTAACCTCGCTTTTATAGTTGAAGAAAACCAGCTCAGAAAAGTCAAGTAACTTGACCAAGGACACACAGCTAAGTGGCATGGTCAGACTTTGCATTTAAGTTTGATTCCAGAACTCTTGCTTTTAACCACTGTGCAAATCAGTTCATGCACGTCCCTGCTTAAAACCGACCATTGTGACTCTCTGTTGCTCATAGATAATGACTAAACTCCTTAACATGCCCCAAATCTCCTGCCCACTCCTCTGGCCTCAGCCTTACCCCTCTCTCTGCCTCCAGCTCCCACAATAGTCCACCTGAGCAGCAGCTGACAAAGTTTGAACTTGTCCTGTGGGCAACAGGGAACCATAGAGGTTTTAAGCAGAGTGGCAGCAAGACAAGACCTGAGAAGGCCAATTAGAAGAAGGCTGAAGCAACTCAGGCAGAGGTGCACAGGGATCTGAACTGTGGGAGGGGCAGGAGGGACGGAGAAGCATGAACTGGATTCAGGCGAAGTAGATAGAATCTACAAGTCTAGGTGACTGCATGCTGGGGAGGGGAAGAAAGTCCAGGCTTATCCTCAGATTTCTGGCTTGAATAACAAGGGAGAGGGTGCTAGCTATTTTCAAAGAGCTATGATCAGTGTCTGACAGAAGCAAACAATACGTATAATTCTACCTTGTTTTCATTATATGCATGTTGAAGGGGCCTGGAAACCATAAAAAATTTCCCTTCCTTGCCCCTTTTGTTCTTTTTCTTCCAAACTGGTGTGGGAATTCACTGAAGATTAAAGAAAACTGTCTCTGTCCCTGTCCCAGAGCTGAACTACAAACACACACAGCATCAGCCCCAGATTAGGCAATCAAACAGTGCCCCAAATTAAGCTTTTAAACATTAAAATCAATCAAGCCCGAAGAATCTAGCTTGAAATGAAGAGGTGTTTAAAAGAAGTAGGCTGAGGTGCACTGAGAAAAACAACTTAAATTATTAAAGTGGAGTTTTTATGGTACAGGGGAAATGTTCCAATAATGTCAGATTAAAAATGTAAATCTATTTACCTTCCAGATGATTGTTTTTGAGCACTCTTATAAAATCTACTGCTTGCCTGTTTGTCTATGAATGAGAGTTCGTTACCTGGGGAAGAGGATCAGACCTAGGCATGCTGGGAACATTTTCTCCCATTTATCCATGAGTGAGTGTCTCCTATCACTTTTGGCCTGTTAGTTAATTACTGCATAAATTTCCCTACTGAAAATGGAGCTCTTATTCAGTGCTGGGTCATTTTCAAAACTCAAGTGCCAAATGTTCATAATGTTTTTAACGACAGTTTCTTTCCCGTCTATTCATCTCCCCCCACCCACTCTTCTTGACCCTGTGGTGCATTTGTTATATTGAAATTATGACATTAAAATCACTTTTATTTCAATTGGCTGGGATGACTAGAACATAAAGTTAAGAGGGATTGAGTTCCTCAGATGGAGAAAGTGGGAGGAAAAAAGTTTCTCTCAAGTCAATGATCTTTGAGTGGGTTTACATTCAATGATGACAAGGCAAGCTGACAGGGTCATGTGTTCATTCACCAAATAAAGTATTACCCCTATCAATGCCCTGCAAAAGAAAGATGTTGTGAACCCCAAATGCAAGTAACATATGAAATTTAAACTTTTCCACAGAAGCAGAAAGAAACCAGTGGAGTTAATTTTACTATTATTTTATTTAAACCTATATATCTAAATACTATAGTTCAACATGTGGTCAGTGTAAATATTATTGAGATTTTTACATTCTTTTTCATACTGTCCTTGAAATCCAGCTTGGGTTTATACTTAATGCCTCTCATAATAGCCACATTTCATGTGCTCAATGTAGCAACACCGAGCCACATGTCGCTGGAGGCTGCCATGTTGCACACTGCAGATCTGTGCAATGCAAGGACAGTTTTTTCCTCTCAAATTGATAGACCAAGAGTAGATTTGTACATTTAATGAATCTAACTTTTTCCTCCAACTAAGAAAGAAAAACAACAACAACAACAAACTATGCCTGTGATGAAAACTGGCAATGTGGCCCTGTTGATAAATTGCAGGTTAAATTATTTTTCATATAATTGTTCCTTGGTTCCAGGACTGGTCACAAATGAAAAATAACCCTTTTAAGGGTGTAGACAAGTTCATTCAAGAGGCAGTAAAACTGAGGCATTAAGATAAATAACAAGCTGCATTTTTTTTAATGAGGGGTAAAATTTTCATCCTTTCAGATGGTACAAATTTTTCATTAATAAATGTCAGCAGATCTCTCTTCCTCAAGCTAGTGACTATATTAAACATGAATTACAAGAACTCTGTTGATTCCCAGCAATATTTTTCTGTAGATTAGTATGACAATTTAAAAATATATCTATACATTTGGCATCTTTGGGATGACTTTAATTTCTAGCCAGGAGAACTCTCATGCTCAGCATTTTTTGAGGGTGGGGACTACTATAATTAGCTGCATCCAGAAATGTTTTCTGGGAGTTGAATTGTATTACATAATAAACAAGTTCTATTTGATGGGCTGTACATCTTTACCTTTCTAGTCCCAAACCCAGTGAGCACATTATTTTTCAAATACATTCCGGGTTTGGTAAATTGGGAGTCGTTTTGCTGTTGAAGGCAGTGAGGTTCAGCATGGTATTGTGGGAAGCCTTTGGAATCAAAAGGATCTGGCCTCAAATCTCGTTATTTTGTGGGTTATTTTGGGCCAGCCACTTAAATTCTCTGCACCTCAGATTTGACATCTGTGCCAAAGAGATCTTAAGATCTAACTCAGAGATTGTTGCGAAGACAAATGTGAACACAAATGTACAACGTCTGATATAAACACTTGATTAATGATAATTCTCTCCTGCTGCCTTTTTCAGGCTAATGAGTAAGTTGGATTCAGTGATGTGAATTTTCACAGATTCAATGTTTAAGGTAAGGCTTTTGTATTAGTTAGCTATTGCTGTATACCAAATTGTCTCAAAACTTAGTGGCTTAAAACAACAAACATATATAATTTTTCAGTTTTTCTGGGCACAGTTAGCTGGGTTCCTCTGTCTTAAGGTTTCTCATGAGGTTGCAGTCAAGCTGTCAGCCAGGGCTGTGGTCTCATCTGAAGGCTTGACTGGGGATAGATTTGTTTCTAAGTTCAGTCATGTGGTTGTGGGCAAGATTCAGATCTTTGTGGGCTGTTGGATTGAGGGCCTTGATATCTCACTAACTATGGCTGGAGGACTTTATAGTTCCTTGCCATTTGAGCCTTTTCATAGGGCAATTATAAATTGGCAGTTGGCGAGAGAGAGAGAGAGTGGGGTAGGGGGAAGAAAGAGAAAGAGAGGAGCCTTGGTGTTGCTGTAACCTACTTTTGGAAGTAGCATCCATAATTTTTGCTCTATTCTCTTTGTTAGAATTGAGTTACTAGGTCCAGGAATACTCAAAGGAGAGGATGACGTTAGAGTGTGAATTCCAGGAAGTAGGATCACTGAGGGCCATCTCAGAGGTTGCCTCCTGTGAATTTCTGTTTCCTGGTATTACTTTCTCCTCTCATGTAGGTCCCTCCTCAGTAATACAAATAAGAGCTGAACAAGCAAGGCTGTGCTGTGAGTCAGGAACTCTGCTGAATGCTTCACAGAGCCCTTATGATTCTGGGCATTGCATTACACGTCACTGTGCTATGTGCCCATCCCCTCAGTTAGACTGGGAGCTCTGTGAAGATAGGAAAGTGTTTGCTCACTGCAGTGACCCAGTCTAGAACAGTATTTGACACATTTCTCTCAATAACTGTCAAATAAGTACAGGAATCAATGGTTGCTCTTGCTTCATGCAACAACCCTAAGAAGCGGATACATCTGTTGTGCCCATTTCACAGAAAACTGACACTTGGAGGTAAAGTGACTTTCTTAGCCTCACAGAGCTAGTAAGTTGTGGGACCTAGGGGCCCAGGTGTATCAAGCCAGCTCAAAACCTGTTCCTTCAGTTACTTGACTTTGAGGATTCCTGATAATATGTGAGGGCAGACAGTGCCTGTGTGCATGCGTGCGTGTATGCTGTGCATTGCGTGTTCTGGAAGGAGTGTAGTCATCTTCGTCCACCAGGCAGCCTCTCAATAGGCAGATTCCACCGTCCGTTATGCTTGGGAGTGGACGAGCCTTCTGTGACTGTATCCTCAAGTGAGTTTCTGTTTTCTTCACATACCAGAGAGAAGAGTGAAAATCAGTGAATGAAAGGGAGAGAACAGGGCAGGGACTACAGAGCCCTTGCGAAGCTGTGACCCACAGAAGTGACTGGGTGGGGCAGAACGTTTCCTGTCATCCCTCTGCCTGCTTTTTATGAAGCTAATGCCTACTTGTTTTCAGTAAACTTTTTGTAAGTAAAGTTTTTCCTAGTATTTTTAGTGTCCCTGACTTTCCCCCTCTTGTTAGTTCCACACACATTCTTACTCTTCTCCAAGTAAAAACATTTTTTAAAATTTGAAAGGTGCCTAGGTGCTTTGGGAAAAAAAAGTAATGGCAATGAGAATAATTTAAAAATATGATAACAATAAAACTAACATTTGAGAGCTTATTATGTACCAGGCAAAATTCAAAGTGTTTTTCCAAGTGTTAAGTCATTTATAAGGTCTTGAAGAACTATTAAGTCAATCCTATGGATGGCTTTCAGGGCAGAAGTACTAGTTATCTGTTGCTGCGTAGAGAATCACCCTGAAAGTTAGTGGCTTAAGACAGCAATAAACATGTATTATCTCTGCCAGTTTCTGTAGCTCAGGAATTTGGGAGTGGCTGGGTGGTTCCAGCTCAGGACTTCTCATGAAAGCCAGTCAGATACTCGCCCAGGCACAGTCATCTGAGGGCTTGATCAAGGCTGGAGGATCTGCTTCCAAGATGATTCATTCTGGTGGCTTGCAAGTTGGTGGGAAGCTCAGTTCCTCCCCATGTGGGCCTATCCACAGGCTGCTTGGGTGTCCTCACAACATGGTGGCTGGCTTTGCCCAGAGCAAGGGCTCTAAGAGAGCAAAGAAGAGACTGCTATGTCCTTTGTGACCCAGCTTTGGAGGTTACCCACTGTCAATTCCAGAACATTTGTTGGTCACACACATCAGCCAGCCCCATTCAGTGTGGCTGGGGACCACACAAAGCTTGGATACCAGTGGCCAAGGATCTTTGTGTGCCATCTTGGAGACTGGCTACCACAGCAGCTGCCTTGTTGTGTGAACTACAACCACAACCACGACCACGACCACATCTACCTTTTCTTGAGCAATTACTATGTGCAACATGCCATGCCAAAGACTTTACAAACAGTGTCTCATTTAGTCTTGACAGCAACCTTCAGATCCAGGTGCTTTTATTATCCCCATTTTACAGATAAGGAAACTAAGGCTCAGAGAGGCTAATAACTTAACCAAAGTCACAGAGCTAGTGTGTGGCTTCTGATAGAATTCTAAAGAACTGGGAAGGAGGACAGTAATAAAGTATGAAGTATGGTTTTACCTCCTGCCCAGCTTATATGGTGAGGAGGTTGGGAGTGATTCAATGTAAGTACAAAAACAACCATTGGACGTAAAGAGGGCTTTACATTGTCAGAATGATTTCAAAGACATTAGTCTATTTAAAAGAAGTGAGTGTGTATGTAAGAGGGAGAGAGACAGAGACAGACGAAGACACAGACAGAGAGACAGAGAATGGGAAAGCAAGCCAGGCATACTAAATTATTCCTAGAGTTGAAGTTCACATGCCCAAAGGAACACAAGGACACAAGAATGATGGCCCTGGGTCAGGCCCATTGTCCATATTCTTAATTTCTGGAGGCAAATGAGCAGCTGTAGGAGAAATTATTTGCCTTCTTGTATGTCATTATCAGAGGCCAGGGGCCTTACTGCAACGTGCTTCCTGGAGAAACGCACATACCCACACATGCCAGAAATTTGCATAAAACTTTAGGAGGTTTGAATTCCCTGAAGCCCATGAGATAGTCTCCCTAAAGTTCATGGATTCTAGGATAAAGCACCCTGATGCTAAATCTTTTGGAGAATTTCTCTATTTATGTTTTTCTTACTTGACAAACTACTTTGTAATATGGAACTTGCTAAACCTTTTACATCACATTACATTTTCTCATTACCTTGAACTGTCACTGGTATTTTTAAATTTTGACCTGATCCACTTTAGCCTTCGTTTCCAGACCAGAGCAGATAATTAAAAAGCAAAGGCATTGAATCTCAGTATCCTCCAGGTTGTCTCCAGTGTATCCCAAATCTGATGCAGGAATCTGCTGTGCAACCTCCCTCACCTGCAGTCCCAGCCCCCACACCCTCCCTGCTCCTCTAAACAGGTGCAGTGTGTATACAGTCAAGTTCACTTGTTTTAGGTGTGGGTTTTAGAGATGCAGTTATCTGAGTTTTGACAAATGTGTTAAGTTGTGTAACAACCACCACAATCAAGATGCGGAACAGTCCACTGCCCCAGAAAGTTCCCTCAGGCCCCTTTTCACTCATCCTTCTCCCTGAGGCCGGGATGGTGGTAACTACTGATCTGATTTTGGTCCCTACAGTTTTGCTTCCCTTCTCCCCCACCTCCCCCACCGTTCGTGTCTTATAAATGGAATCAAACAGAATGTACCCTTGGAGGCGGGATTCTCTTAGCAATTTTCTGAGACTCATTCATGTTGTCGCATTCAATGATAGAAGGCAATTTGTTTATCCATTCCTCGTTTATGGACATTTCCAGTTTCTGGCTATTATTTGCATTCTTTTTTTTTTTTTTTGTCTTTGGTTTTTTTTCCTGGGAGGGGAGGGGCTGGAGAGTGGATCACGAATGTGTCATTGATTCTTCCTCCGTCCAAATCCTGTGGGAATTGTCACCAGATCAATCGTGGAGCCGCGACTGCATTGGAGCAGCTATTCTTTTTGTATTTGGACTTTTGCTTTCACACTTACTTTCCTTTTCTGCAAATTGAGGCCCAAACGTTCCTCTGGTTTCGGCAGACAAGATCCAGAAAGACCCAGAGGAAATAACTCAGGGGCAATGCTCTGTGCCTTGAGGGTGTTAGCTTCCCTACTTCACGGGTGGCTCATCACCAGTCTCCAAATCACCTAAAAGCTTATTTAAAAAGCAGAATCGAAGGCTCCAGCCCATACCAACTGCGTCAGAGCCAGCATTTTAAGATCCTGGTGCGTCGGATGCATATGAAAGTTTGAGAAGCACTGTCGTATTCCACTCTCGCTACTAAAAATAAAATACATATTTTCTCATAATATTTAGCCCTTCCTTCCAACTTTTTCCCCTCTCCCTGGAGTAAAATCACTTTGTAGTTAAGTGAAGAACTCAAGTTTGTGTCTGAGGAGATGGTGAGCGCTGCATCCTCGGACGTTGGAGGTGCAAAAGGGGGAGGGAAAAGAAAGAAGCCAAGAACAGAGCACCGGTTGTTACGAGATCATCGAAGCCAGAGGGGGCTGGCGGCGAGAGGTCTCCAGGGCCAAATCCTCCGCGGCCCCCTCTGCGGCCTCTCCGAACCTGGACACCAGGAGCAAGACGCGGGCACAGCGCTCAGCCGGGACGCTTCCAAAACTTCGCGGAGCTGGGCCGGGGCCGGCCGGGC